GGACGCCCTTATGGGTCCCCACCTTCTGGGCTTTCTCCCCCCCCCCGGTTTTTTTTTTTTTTTGACTCCCTCCCCTGACCATCAGTCACTCCTATCCCCTGAGTCCTCTCCCCTTCTCCCCTTCCCAGGAAGGAACCCAGTGCGGCAGCCCCAACAGGGGCTGGGGGTGTGGCCCCAGGCTCAGGGAACAACACGGGGGGTCCCAGCCTCCTGGTGCCGCTTCCTGTGAACCCCCCCAGTTCTCCGACACCCAGCTTCAGCGAGGCCAAGGCAGCTGGCGCCCTGCTCAACGGACCCCCCCAGTTCAGCACTGCCCCGGAGATCAAGGTGAGCCCCAAGCTTCTGTGTCCTGACGCCGTTGTCTTCCCCGTAGGTGTTCACTGTCCCCTTCCTGCAGGTCTCCCTGCCCTGTCCCTCACTCTGTGTAGCTCTGGCTTTCTTTCCCCTTCGCCCGCTTGCTTTTTCTCCGGGTCTTTCCCTGCCCCCTGCACCTTCCCCTTTTCTCGGGTTTCTTCCACCGTCCTGCCCTCAGGGCCTCCTAACTCTCTCTTCTGCTCCTGGTTGTACTTGCGCTTGTGCTCTCTGGGTCCCCCCCCCACCATCTCTGTCCCCAGTCCTCACTCCTTCACACACCCCACCATCTAGCTCACTACCCTCCTTTACTGACATCCGCTCTGGGCCATGCTTCATGCTGGTTGAATGCACCCAGGTCCCACCTTCTGTGCCGGAAGCCTCATGTGACTGTAAGGGGGTGGGGGGGCAGAGGGTGCTGTGGCCCCACATGGGTGCCTCTGACTTGACCTGGGGAAGATGCCCCAGCAAGGCCTCGGGGGGCACATCTCTAAGGGGGACAGACCTCCAGGGACCCAGCATGGGAAAGGTTAATGGAGGAAGGAGGGGTTCTCCTGTGCCAGAGTTCTAGGAGGGGCTGACATCAGCACAAAGGCTCCGCAGTAGTGAGGAAAGGAGGCTGGCTGCAAGGCTGTGGTGGCGGGGTGTCCATGGGGAGGGCAGTGGGGTCCTGAGCCCCTAGGTCTGAAATGGGAGCAAGGTACAGAAGTGACTTCCTGGGCTGGTGCATTTAATTAATCTCAGTTCCACAAAGAGTCCGAGTCCCACACTGCCTTGTGCACTTTCATCTGGAGAAACCCCCAAATACGAGGGGGCTCTGAAAGGCTCGGTATCCTACTGAAGCTCTTGGAATGGCTTGTGGCCCAGAGCAAGCACTCTCGCTTCAGACGTACTCTGGTTGGGAAATTCACGGAGTGAGCATCTTTTTGGAGAAGAGGGATCAGTAGCTTTTAGGGTGTTGAAAAAATACACTGGGTTCTGACGAGAGAAGGGACAAAAAAGGATGTGGCTGGGAAGGTCCCTCTGGGGCTACTGAGAACAGGATGGAGGGAGGGGGTGGGAGAGGACAGGGACATTCAGGGCCCGCACCCCAGGCCTGGTGACCGGGCAGTGGGGAGGAGCAGGCGGACTGCGGGTCAGAACCTGCCCCAGTGTGGCATTGGGCCAGCCTGTTAACCAGCAAGTGAGGAGTGGAGTTTCCAGAGGCGGCAGGAGACTGACCCTGGTCCTACACTGGCCAGAGGCAGGGTGGGTGGGTGCAGACCCCACCCCTCAGCAGCGCCACTTGGGAGTGGGCACACTTGGAGAAGGGCGTGCTGCCGGGTGTCCCTGTGCATAGCAGAGGCCACACTCGCTGGGCACTTCTATTGGTGGATCCCCCACCTCAGGGCTAGGGGCGGCGGGGGGCCTTTGCTCGGTGAGCGAGCCTCCTGCAGAGTCGGCAAGTGGCGTACCAGCTCTCCCCTCTCCCCAGGCTCCCGAGCCTCTGAGCTCTCTCAAGTCCATGGCAGAGCGGGCAGCCATCAGCTCCGGCATCGAGGACCCCGTGCCAACGCTGCACCTAACCGAGCGAGGTGAGGGTCTGGGCGAGGTAGGGGTGGTGTGGTGAGGAAGGGCAGGCCCCACACCGGCCTTACCCTGCTCTCCCCTCCTAACCCTAACCCTCCCCTCCCCACAGACATCATCTTGAGCAGCACGTCCGCGCCTCCAGCCTCAGCCCAACCACCCCTCCAGCTGTCGGAAGTGAACATCCCACTGTCACTGGGGGTGTGTCCACTGGGGCCCGTACCCCTCACCAAGGAGCAGCTGTACCAGCAGGCCATGGAGGAGGCCGCCTGGCATCACATGCCCCACCCCTCAGACTCCGAGCGCATCCGGTGAGGGGCTGGCACCCAGCACCGAGTGTGAGGGCGGCGGCCATGGTGGGGATCAGGTTCCCCAGTCCTGAGAGGTCAAGTAAAGCTTGCTGGTGGTCCTCCTCACTACTGGGCACCCAACTTGGGGCTGTCCACTGTTGGGGGGCGGGGCTGAGTTCACTGTTGGGGTGACCAGGTGCCCAAGAAGCTCCCATTCACCTGAGGTGGGGGGGGGTCTGGGTTTGCACCCACTCCTGAGACGGCAGGGACTGCTGGGCACTGCAACTAGTCCTCCTGCTCCTCCACAGGCAGTACCTCCCTCGGAACCCCTGCCCGACGCCCCCCTACCACCACCAGATGCCACCCCCACATTCGGACACCGTGGAGTTCTACCAGCGCCTGTCCACTGAGACCCTCTTCTTCATCTTCTACTATCTGGAGGTACAGCAGGGCCCCCGGGGCAGCCTCGGGCCCCCCGGCTTCGCCGCCACCGCCGCCGTCCCCCCTCGGGCTGGAGGGGTGAGGTGGGTGCCCCTCTGCGGCCCCTGGGACCGCACCCCCTCCCCATCCCTCAGTCCTGTCCTTCCCCGAGGCAAACCCGTCCCCGCTCCCACTGCAGCACAGATATGTCCGCCTTGGGGTGGGGGGGCTAGGTTGGGCCACTGCAGGGGGGGGCCCCAGTTCAGTCTCCCGGCCTCACACTGCTCCCTGGAGGCCACTTTGCATGACCCCAGGGAGTTGCCATAACCCCCCCTGCATCCCTCCTGGGGGACCTTTCCAGAACGCCTCCTCTCAGCTCCTCACGCATTAGTTTCTCTTCCTTCTCAAAGCCTCTCTGAAAGCCATTTCCTCCTCCTGACCAGCATTGGTATGTTCCGTGCCCCAGCCCATCCCCGTCCGCCCCATCCAGCCCAACTTCGGTCTTCGGCGGGGCCCGGGGTCAGCCCCGATGCTCTGTGCCCCTCGCCCCCACCGGCTTGGGGGCCCCCTGATCCCCGGCTGCACCCTTCCTCCCCCAGGGCACGAAGGCACAGTACCTGGCAGCCAAGGCCCTGAAGAAGCAGTCCTGGCGATTCCACACCAAGTACATGATGTGGTTCCAGAGGCACGAGGAGCCCAAGACCATCACTGATGAGTTTGAGCAGGTGAGGGCCCCTCCCTGTGCCCCGCCCTGCCTGCGGGCCGGCCCCCCTCCCACACCCTCACCTGCAGCCAGCTCTGTCCCGGGGGCCCTCACCTCCACCTGGACCACTGTCCTCTTCATCCTGCCTGCCACTGGCTCGTCACCCCTCAGGGCCCAGCCTAACCATCTGCCCGGAGGGGAGCCTTTCCCAGCCCCAAGGTCCATGCCTCTGCCGGGCACCTGCTCAGGCACGGTGGCACATGTGGCTTCTCCCACCTCCGAGCACAGGTCGCTTCACACAGGGCGCTCGACGGTCGGTCTCCTTCCCCTCCTGTCCCCCCAACACCGGGCAGAGCGGGCGGCTCACTAGCAAACACGGATGGGGAAACCGTTTTATTTAACGACTTTCCTATGTTCTGATAACTGGAAACCCCCACTTGTACACCACTGGGGCCAGACTACATGGTTCTATCTAGGTGACCTTGGGCAAGTCATTTGAACCAGTCTCTATTTCCTTACGTGTAAAAATGGGGTTAACGCACCCACGTTACACAGTTGTTACAAGGATTAAATGAGTTAATGACCTGTACCTAATGGTGCCTGCTCCCTAGTAAGTATCACTGGTGTACTTTGTTTCAAATAACTTAAAGGCCATGTTCCAGTGCTTTCTTCCAAATCTTTGCCTGATGCCAAGTATTGACAGGGTCCTTGTCCTCAGAACTCGGTTCCCCTCCCTCCCTCCCCCCCTCCCCCGGTTCTTTCAGGTTCTTTGAGCAGTTCAGACCTTCATTCAGAACCAGTTCCCCGCTTCCCCCCCCCCCCCCACCCCCAACTGCGTCTCTGACACTGACCAGACTTACTGTCCCATCCTGGTTTGGTCCCAAGTAACCTTCCAAGTACCTTTCAAGGCATCGATCCTTCAGCAATACCCACCCCAGCACTGTCACCAATAAAACGTCTGTCCCGACGGCGTGCCTGGATATGGACTCAGCCTGTTCCATTCTCTAGGACGGGGGAACGGTCGCAGGGTTTTGCGAAGACTAGAGGCTAGGCCAGACTTCGAGCACCAGGCACCAGCTCAGTGCTCAAGCTGCAGCCGTCGTGAGAAGTCCTAGTTCACTTTGTAAACGAGGCCGAGCCTCTAGCGCACGTCCTCTCTGTGCCTCCATTTCTTCTAAAGTGGGCAGGATGACTTTTCCTGCCCAAGAAGAGGTTGGTGAGGGTGGAGGGAGTCAGCTGGTGCATGCAGGGCCCTGGGCCCCGTGCCTGGCCCCTCCTTGGCCCTGAGATCTGTCCCCTAGGTCTGTCGGTCCAACCCAGGTCCCCAGCCACCTCTGCGTCCACTCACTGACCACCTTCTCCCCTGGCCAGGGCACCTACATCTACTTTGACTACGAGAAGTGGGGCCAGCGGAAGAAGGAAGGCTTCACCTTTGAGTACCGCTACCTGGAGGACCGGGACCTCCAGTGACACCGGCCCCCCCCCACCCTCCCCTCCCCCCCGCATGCTGATCCCCCTGCCCAGGTGAGGGCCTTGCCCTGGGAGACTGGGGGAGGCCCCAGGCCATGGGGCAGCCCTCATCCCCAGGAAGCAGCCCCACCCTGGGGGCCCGGGGGCGAGGGCTGCCCCCTCCTCCCCTCCCCAGTGAGGGACTTTTTTTGGTAAACCTATTTTCATTTTGGAAAATATTTATGAATAAATAGTTTTATATGACGGCTGGCAGCTGCGGCCTCTCCTATCCCCCCAGGAGTCCGTAAGCGCTGGGGTCCTGTTGGCAGGGCGCCGGGCCCACTGGGGGTTGAACTGGGAGTTGTACCGCGCCCGCCGTTCGTCCATCTCCACAGGCTGTTCCTCCGGGGGGGCCGTGCCCTTCACTCGGGCCAGCAGGGCCTCTGCCCGAGCACGCTCTGTTGCTTCCCGCCGGAGACGTTCAGCTCGAAGCTGGTCCAGAGATGGGCGTCTGGGGGCACAGGAGTCTGGTTAAAAAGCTCATAGGCCCCAGAGTGTCCCCCCCCCCCCCCCAAGGAGGAGCTGCCACCTGGACCCCGTGCCTGCGGGCCGGAAGCTGGCTTCATGCAGTGCGTTAAGACCTCAGCCTCCCCCTGTGTGGGCTCCTACCACCCCCATCTTTAAGAGCAGCGCTCTCGATCTGGAGGGGCACCCAGCAGCAATCAGCTATGACAATGAGCACAGCTGGGGCCTCAGTTTCCCCTTCTGTAGAAGACAGGAGCCTGTATGCCAGTTCTGCTCAGGGCTTTGTCCTCCTAGGGACACAAACCTGCTCTTAGTGACCCCGTAGTTCTCAAACTGGTCTCAAGGACCCCCGAGAGCTTTGTGTGCCTGTGGGTTTTATCGGTTACTGTTTAGCATAGAAGGAGCAAGATCTTGAAAACGAGGCAACATCCCTCGGTTTACCACAGCAGTGTCCGGAAGCCACTGCACACTCAAGACAAAGTTCACTGCTCTGCAGACCCCCAGACACGGTGCCCAGGCCACCTCTCTGCCCAGCCAGCCCCCAACACCGCCCGCCCCAGCTTCCTTACGCTTCCGGCCGCTGCTTGTCCGGCCCCTCCTTTCCCTTTCTGCTGTGACCACCATCACCACTGTGCCGCCTCTTCTTCTTCAAGTGCTTCTGCATCTCCCGCAGAGGGTCCAGGCGCCGCTTGATCTTTTCATCTGGACCTGGGCCGGGTGGGGGCGCCCCCCGCCCTGGGGGGAGCTGGTACCAAGGCGGTTGAGTCTGGGCTTCCGCAGCACTCTGGCCCAGGTATGTGAGGATCCCCAGAGCTTTCTCCTGCCTCTCCTGAGAGGACAGAAAATAGGGAGGTGCGGATGTGAAGAATGGCTCCCGCAGGGAGGCCTACAGGGGATACCAGGACGCCCAAGGCTCCCGGGCGAGGCAGAACCAGTTTAGCCAACAGGTGCTGGAGAGAGGTCACGAGCCAGCTCTGCTATGTTCTAGGGACACAAAAGAACAGCACAGGCGAGCCTCCAGCCCTGGGCACAAGTGCAGGTTCAGTAACAAAAAGCACAGAAGGGAAGGACAGGTGGTGCTCCTGTAGGGTTCAAAGGCAATCATCTTTGAGGATATAATCTGAAGACAAAGCAGCAAGCAAGGCGCAAAGGAGGGGGGCAAGTTCAGAGTTGGGTGGGAATCCCCGAGTAGGCGAGTGACAGGGTCCGCTTTATGCCAACAAAGCTCCTGGACCCTTCCCAAACCCCAACAGGGCCTGGACGCCAGGCCAATGGGTCTGCAACTAGCAGCCACTTCCAAGTGGCTGCAGGCTTGGATGGCAATAAACAGCACTTCTGAGTGCTAGGTTCCGGGACCCCTCTGGGTCCTCTTTATCAGCTCACTTAATCCCCACCCTCACTCCATACTCCTGTTAGTCACACGGGAGGACAGACGCCCCCAGCCCCACCCATCACTCATGAGGTGGGAACCCAACTTACTTTCTCCTGTCGCTTTTCTTCCTCGTACTCTTTGTTGCCTCTGGTCACCCCTTTCCCTTCCTCTAGCAGCTCCCGGAATAGGTTCACAGGGCCGGGAGTCGGGGCTCCTGCCTCTGCTGCTTCCAGCTCAGGTAGTGAGTTCTGACGCCTGGCTTTCTTCCGTAGGAATTCTGTGCGGGCCTGGGGAAGAGTCAGTCACAGGCTCAGCATTGAGAACCTCGATGTGATTCACATAGGTGTGACGCTGGACCACAGAAAACGCGGTCCTTAGTGCTGGGGGTTCAGAAGAGGCACCTGTCCCAGCCCGCGGAGGGCGTGGGGGAATGCGGGACACCTGGTTTGTAAGCTGCCTCCTTCCCCAACAGTCAACCAGCAGGGTTCCCAATCTCGGGTGGAGACAAACAGCCCAAAGTATGCCAACAGGCGATGTGGGTTACAGGCAGGGCTCCATCCACCACGGCGTGCAATCTCTACCAATAGGTTGATTTTAAAAGCCCAGCCCATCTCGAGGTGCAGTCAGCTTTGAGGATCAGATTCACTAAAGAACAAAACTACGTATAAGCAGGAGGTTAGGAGTTACACGGAAAGCCCCTGGAGCGGGGAGGGCAGGGAGAGGGCTCGCCCCACAGCTTGAGAGACTGCAGGTCAAATGCTCTGCACCGGGCGAGCATACAGTAGACGCTCAACAGGGAGGTTGTGCAGGCAAACTAGTCCGAGTTTCCTTGAACTGCTCAGGGGTTCACTTTTCACAGGCCGCTACTCTGTACCAGGCACTCTTCAGCCTCGCGAAAGACACAAGTGGGGGACACCAAGACAAAGCGGAGGCCTAGGCGGGCCCCGCACGGTGGACACAGGCACAGGTGGACACGCGCCTCCAGCGGCGCCCAACCCCTCCTACCTCACGGGATGCACCGCGCCTGGGCGCCACCCCCACTTCCGGCCAATCCCAAAGCGCCTGCGCGATCGGCCCGGGACTCCCCTCCGGCCGCGCTCGGGGCTTACCTCCTGCTGAGCGAGCAGCACTCTCCGCTCACGCTCTTTCTCCTCCTCCCGGGCCTGAGCCTCGTCACGCCGCACACGGGCGACATTGTCTTTGTTCCGGACGTGCCAGCTCTTCTTGGGCAAGATATTCATGGCGTCGTAGCCGGTCACCCACTGACAGGCCCGCCTCCAGCCACTTCCTATTGGCGAGAGAGTGCCCCTCCCTGTTGTTCCTGTTTTAGCTACGGATTGGGCCTGGGCTGATTGCCACGCCCCCAAGTCCGTAAGGAGAGCTGACTAGCTGAGATGCCCGAATTTGGGTTGGTGTAGCCTAGCGACCGCCTCCTTACCAGGGTTCTGAGCCAATCACGTGTCCCCGCGCTGAAGCATACCGGACGCGGCCGCTAATTGGCTGGCACGTCTGTCAAGTCTTGTCGAGGCCAATTCACTTGATTGGCTTGTGCCCGACTCCTCCCCCGCCCCGCTGCAGGATGCAATTTACAAACAACTCTCTGCAAGCTGGGCCATCTTTATTGATAAAAGAGAGACGTTCACTGGAGTCCAAGGGTGGGGGAGCTTCAGAGTCCTGGGAATCCCCGAATCCCAAGGCTGTTAAGGGCATGGGTTTTCTCCACTTCCTCCATTTTACAGATGACGTGCCGGAGGCTTACAAAGGGTCTGGGGGGGGCAGGTCTGGGTCAGAAAGTGGGACATCGTCCTGAGCAAGGGTAGGGGAGGTCAAAGAGCCCCGCTGGCCGAGCTCAGTGCCACAGCGCGCTGTGCCAGGAAGACCTTATTCTGCGCCTCCTACGTAAAGGGTAAAGGGAGGTAGAGGTGAGACGCCTCTCCCCACTGTTTCTTTGCATATCCAGGACCCATTCACAGGAACCCGATCTGGCTCACCGTCTCTATCTGGCGTTTGAGCTCAGAGATGAGACGTCCATAGGAGTTAGCCAAGACCAAGGTATACACCATCAGGATGCTGGAGGAGACAGCAATGGAAGCCACACCCGAAACGCTCTTAGACTATCTTCAATGCATGGCCCCTTAGAAACCAGAGACCTGGACCCCCCAGCCTCCTCCTTCCTCAGACCCAGGAGTCCGGGACCCCAGCCGCCTCCTCCTCCCTCAGACCCACAAGTCCACGCCCCATCCTCTCCTCCTGAGACTCAGGAATTTGGGTCCCCAGCCCCTTCCTCTCTTAGAAACAGACAGCGGGGGCCCCAGAATACACAAACTCAGACCTAGGAGTCTGGGCCCGCTCACCTGGAGATTAGCAGAAGAGGCACAGCAAAAGCCTGGGTCCCCAGGAAAAAGAGAAAGTTCTGGGTGATCCGAGGGAGACTGGAAATTGACTCAGGGATCTTGGCCCAGATGGACGACTGCCCTCGGAAGGGGCCACACAGCTTAGAAGGTGGGATCCTGAAGAAGTCAGAGACAGTGCTCAAGGATGGTCAAGATGCAGAATCCCGGATGACAGCGAAGGGATGGAGGGAGGAAGAGGCAGGCGCCTCTCACACTTACAAGAAGATGCTATAAAGGACGGGAACAGCAGAGATGGTCAGACCCAGAAGAAGGACCAAGGGGAAAAAGAAGTTCACTGTGGAGGCCCGAAAGGTGCGGGAGGCCGGAGAGCAGGTGGAGAAAAGGGTGAACTGGGGGGAGAAGGGGGAAATCTGAGACACAAGAATCTGAGCTCTAGCCTGTCCTGTTCTCACCATCCAGGAGTCTGGGTCCCTGGTGCCCCCATAAGTCCCTAGACCTTTGCTGCTCTCAGACCCAGGATTCCGCGCCCTTCTTTCCTCGGACCGAAAAGACGCCCTAGACCCCTCCTCCCACATCCAGAAGTCTGTCCTCCAGACCCCTCCTCTCTCAGGATCTAGTGGTTGGGGACCCTCGCAACCCGCCTCCCCCAGGACTCAGAAGTCCATCACACTCCTCACCTTCTTGAAATAGAAAAGTAGCAGGAACTTGACCGTGTTGAGCATAGGTAGTAAAGGGCAGAAAAAACTCCCTACCCAGACCACCGTCTGCGCGTAGATGAGTCCCAGCACCTCGTCGGGCACCTGGAACTCCTGGGTTCCCACCGTGCGTCCCAGCGGCCCGGGACAGAGGCCACAGAGCAGCCTGAGGGGTGGGGCCGGGCCGAGTCAGAGGCGCCCCCACCGCCCCACCCACCAATCAGAAGGGAGCAAGTCTGAGGAAGGGAGGAGCTTTCAAAGTCCCGGAGGGGGTGTGCCCAGAGGCGGGGGCCCGGGGCGGGGATAGGGGCGGGGCCAGGAGAAGGAACTAGGTAACAAGGGGGCGGGGTCTGCGTGTCTGGGCGGGATTGTGAAAGGGGCGGAGCTATCGCGAGGGGCGGGGCTCTCACTTCCGAGGAAACTGGATGAGCAGCATGACAGCCAGTCCAGTCAGCAGATCAAAGATCAGGAGTTTGTACATCTCCTGCCCCAGCCGAGTCTCCCAGCACTGAGGAAAGAAGTCACGGGTCAGAAAGACCTCGGGACCCAGGAAGCTAAGAGCCAAGCATCCAAGTCTCCAAATCGCAAGCCTAGGAGATCCCTGCAATCCTTTCTCTGGGGATCCTCAGTTTTCTCGAACATCCCTACCCATGTCCTCAAGAGGAGGGGTGTTCTAGCACTTTAAACCTGGAGTCTGGACCCACCCAGCTCCTCCTCTCCTTCAGGGGGGCCCAGGGTTTGGGGCCCCCCTCTTTCCTTCTCACCGGTAGCTCTTTGTACTTGTAGCCACAGGTTTTGCACTCCTCGGCCTCAGCATTGCCCCCGCAAGTGATCTGATTCCAAAGAGAGAAGAGCAACACCAGCAGGGAGGCCAGGCGGAGAAACACGGTCCTGGCGGAGCCGATGGAGGGAAGGGAGAGGAAGGGGAATCAGCACTGGCTAGTGCTCACCATGTGCTGAGCCCCTCCTGTGCGGGACACACTCACCATTCTCCCCATTTCACAGATGAAGAAACTGAGGCTCTGTAAGAGTCAGGATCTGAATACAGAGCTCACTGGACCCCATATCCTGGGGACTTCCGTGCCTTATGAACTACAGCCAGCGCCCTTCAGACCAGCCCTGCCATCATCCCCCCGCCCACCCTGCAAAGGCTAGAACCTGAGCAGGATAAAAACAATCTGGCGGCTCCTGGTATAGCCCTCCAGCGGGGCGATGAGCTTGAACACAGGTGGCAGCAAGAAGTTGACCCCAGAGATGAAGATGGACGGAAGGTAATCCACCCCAAGCTTCACCAGTGGCATCTGCTGGACAAGGGGCATCTCCTGCGAGAGAAGGTGGACCAAGCAGAGAGGCTCTGGGGTTCTGGAGGGACGCCCTCCCCCAGCCTCTTCTTCCTTCAGCGCCCCGAAGGCCGAGGTCCGAACATACACCCCCCTCCCTCCTCTCCAAGATCGCAGGAACTCTAGACTTCAGGCCCTGCAACCTTGGAAAGGTGAGCCCAGGCCCGCAGGACTCCCCTCCCCCAGGACCCTCCGCACCTGCAGCTTCACAGTGGCCCCTGTAGCCCAGTAGACCCCGTAGAAGGCTGCTCCCAGGAGCGCCATCACCAGCAGATTGAGCAGAACCCGCACCGACCACACCTTGGCTTGCTGGCTCAGGGTCCGCACTGCTGCCTGGCGCCGTACCACGGCCTCCTCCAGCTCCACCTGAAGCCGAGAAAGACGGGCATTTGGGCTCAGTCCCCCCCAGGCCCGGCCGGTGGTCCAGAGCCCCTGCTCAACTTGAACTGATACAGCACCGTCCCTCTGAGGACTGCTGTAATCCGTGTCCCAGCCCCTCCAAGGGCCTCTAGGTCACCATTTAGATCTCCCGGCCCCGCCCCTCCAGAGACCCACCCGGCACCACGGGCCCCGCCCCCAGACCCCCACGCCCCGCCCCTCCAAGGCCCCGCCCCGCGCCCAGTTCCCGGTTGCTGGCCCGGCTCTGACCCCGAGGAGCTTCAGGCCCCGCAGCCTTCCTGCTGCGGGCTTTTCCCTGTGCCCTCTGACCTCAGGCATTACTATTGTGGCCTCTTCCCAGCCCCCTCCTTTCCCAAGGCCCGCCTCCTTAGAAGAAAGCTCCACCCGGCATCTCTGCGAGCCGCATCCCTGGGCGAGGCCCCGCCCCCTCCGGTCCCTGTGTGAGCGTCGACCCCCACGCGCACCTGCAGCTCGTACAGGATGATGCGATGGCGCAGCCGCACGTGGACATCCCCACGGAGCCCGAAGTCCCAGGCGCTGAACACGCGGTGGCTGTAGCTGGTCAGGGCCCCGGACTCAGCCAACAACGTCTGTTTCAGTCCTGACACGGAGCTAAGGGAGGGAAGGGCCAGGAGACAGGATGTGGAAGGTCAGCCCCCTCCTATGGGACAAACGGAAGACGAACCCTAGGGCCTCGGGCATGTGGCGAGCTGCTACCTAGCAGAGAAGGAGTCAGAGACCAAGAGAGAGATTCAGGGGCAGACTCGCGAACACAGACACCGGAGAGACAGAGAAAGACAGAAGCCCAGTGGAGAGGGACAGAGCTCCAGAGAGGAGGGGACAGGACCCAGAGTGAGACAGAAAAAGACCCTGGGGAGAGACAAATTTAGAAGGGACAATGAGACCCCAAAGGGGACAGATTCGGAGGAAGGGGGACAAACAGTGAAACAAGGAAAAGGAAATGTAGAGAAAGGAGTCAGAGACTCAGAAGGACAGATGTCCAGAGAAAGGGGTTGGGGGACAAAGACCCAGAGAAAGGAGGACAGAGACTCGGAGAAGTGGGGCAAAGACCCAGAGGGGGGACAGACACGCAGAGAAAAGCGGACCAGGGGGCTCCGTCTCCACATTCACCGGCCTGGCGTGAGCCCCCAGCTCCCCTTCCGTGGACACCTATGGAAGGACTGACACCTGGTCTCTGCCTCCACCCGTGCCCTTTTGAATCCATTCTGTTGTTGTGCCCGTGGAACCCTCTTTTTATGCAGATGAGACATTACTGCCCTTTAAAACCTATTCCACAGCTGCTCCTTGTTCTGACGTTTAGGCCCCTTCATCGCACAGCCAGCCAGCGCGCACCTGACCCAGCCCCCACCTACTTGTTGAAGCTCAAATCCTGTCCCTCCCCCTCCACGCCCCCCCCACCCCTGCCTTTGGAGTCTCAGAACACTCCAAACCTCTTCTCACCACAGGGCCTTTGCCCTTGCAGTTTCCAGTGCCTGGAATGTCCAGGTCTTAGCCGCTCACCTGGCCCATTCCTTCTCATCTTTCTGGGCTCTCTGTACGGGTCGCCTCCTCAGATAGTCCTTAACTGAGCGCTCCATTTAACGAGGGTCCCCGCCCATTCTCTACCACGGGGTGGTGGCGAACTACGGGGCCAGTTTTTGTAAATAAAGCTTTATTGGAACACGGCCGCGTGCACTCATTTACTTACTGTCGACAGCTGCTTTAGCCGGACAACAGCGGAGTTTAATTCACACGGAGACTGGCCGGAAAAGATGAAAATATTTCCTATCTGGCCTTTATCGAGAAAAAAATGCAGCTCCCTGTCCTATCACCTTGATCATAGCATCCATCTGGTTTCTTAGATGGGGCTCCCAAACTGAAATAGCTGATTGGCTTTTTAAAATTTTTTTAAATATTTATTTTTGAAAGTGAGAGAGACAGAGTGTGAGCAGGAGAGGGGCAGAGAGAGAGGGAGACACAGAATCCGAAGCGGGCTCCAGGCTCCGAGCTGTCAGCACAGAGCCCGACACGGGGCTTGAACTTACCGTGAGATCGTGACCTGAGCCAAAGTCAGACGCTGAACCGAACCACCCAGGTGCCCCGAGCTGATTTGCTTTTCAGCAGAAAATTGGCTTTTTATTTATCTCGCAGTTTATCTCCCCTCCTGAACTGTGAGCCGCACAAAGGTGGGGGACCTTCATCTGGTATCCCTGGGCCCTGGCACAGTGCCTGGAGTTTAGACGGCACTCCACTTTATTTTCTCCTCCCCTGAGAGAACCCCCAGGCTTGCCTGAATGCCGGCGAGTCCCACGTTTGCGTCTCCAGCGCAGACCGGACTCCAGAGCCCACATGTGACTGCCTGGTCATCATTCCCCTCGTGTGTCCAAAGCCATCTCAGAATCAGCCGGCCGAAACCACACCCCCCGCGGGTGCTGCCCTTTCCACAGCTCTCCCCGTCCGACCACAGCGCTGCCCCTTCCAGAGGCTCAACACCTGGAGTCATTCCTAACTTCCCACCTCCCCCCGCCCTGCCCCCAACCCACCAGTCGTTGGGAATCCTCTGGGCCCTGCTCAACAGGCATGGAGAACCTCCCTCTTCTATGCTGAACAGGTGAAAGCAGTCCACGGTGTTGACACAAAGCGTGGGGGGGGGGGGGGAGTTGGGGGAGAAACGTGA